TCTTTTTTCAGTGATATACATAATTCTCAGAAAATTATCCAGTCTGACACGCTTTTATATAGCCTTTACTTTCAGCCACATTGGAAGATGACTTACCGGTATTTTTTCATGCAGTATCTCGAATAGGAGCTATATATCAGCATCTAAGAGGAGTATTCGATAAAGAAACGCGGTCAAGTAAATGACCATTAATAGATTATGGGCTAAATCATGCGTGAAAAAACCCCACAAAGATCAATTGAACCCTGGGTCTTATGGAATCTGATTGATGGCATTATTTATTGAACGCCCCTAGTACTTGCGGTTTTTCATAAAAGGTTCTTCAAAGTTATTTCTTACACGTTATCAATATGGAATTTCATGATCTATTTTTTATCTACGTATAAAAAGTAAATGAGGTCGGTTGCAGGCGAAATAACTTTTCATAACCAGTTGTATCAATTTGAAGTCGTCGATCTATTTTTGAGAAAATAAATGTTATAAATTAACCTGGACGCTCTCGTAAAGGTGAACATAAATTAGTGTGATTTACGATTATGGATTTCAGTCGATCAAAGGGCTATAAGAATTATTCTATCATATAATAATTTAATTTTGTTTGTATTCTAGCCTCTGATTGGTTAATATCCAAAAAAGAAAACAAATTATCCCTGTATAACCTGGTTTGGTATGGGGACACCCACCCCCCCCCCCCCCAACAACCAGCTGAATCATCTGTATCCATACAATCCTCTCATTTCCAGTCCTCGGGATTCATGGAAAATTCCAGATTTAATAAATGTACCTTTAACTTAACAATAATTCGATCTTACCACATGTAAACAAATAACAAGGCTGCCGCTAGGCCTATGTATCAGTTTTTGCCTCCCCTCCCTCCCCATCACTTCCGTTACTACGGTTGTATTATTGAGCGGCCAATTTGAACTAATAAAAAGCAACGAAATTTTACACCCTTAGTTATTTAATGATTTTAAAATTAAATTATAAGGAATGACTCTAATTCTTGGCCAAATTATTCGAGTATAACCTGGTTTGGGTCAGTTTATGCTGTTTTATAATCCGCTTCGCGGATTATAAAGCGTAAACTGACCCAAACCAGGTTATACTCGAATAATTTGGCCAAGAATTAGAGTCATTCCTAAAATAATTGGTGTGGTAACTATATCCGATTATGTTTTGTCTACTCGTACTGTTGTATAAGCACTCCTGGAACGAGTTTCAAATGACCATCATCGACTGGACTTATCAGCATGTTAAAAATCCTGGATATTTTACTTACGCTTTGACCACGGACACTCTTTATTTTAATAGTTAAAAATGAATGTACAATGTGTATGTACATTTAAAATGGGATGTACTTAAAATTTCGAATTTTATTTCATCGAGTTTGGTATGTTCTAACACATCTGGATAATTTACTAGGAAAAAAAAACGATAATGGTAACATAACAACAAACTTTATGATAAACGTGATGACTCTAACTTTTTTATCGTCAACTCCCCTTATTTTTGTAGCAATATACCATAATAACCAGCATGTGGAGTTCATGTCTCCCATTTGATTCGATACGCAAGTGTATGCTCTAGGTGTGCAATTAAAAAAATTAAGCACTAGCCCACGGGCTAGTGGCAGCAATAAAGTTACTAGCCCCAAGTAAAAAGTTACTAGCCCAAATGTGTGTGTGTGTGGGGGGGGGGGGGGGGGGAGTCACAACTAATATTAAAAGAAAATAGTTAATTGTTGAAAAAGTCAGGGTTTTAATGTCATTCTTTTTAAAATTAAAGTTTAATTCTCACCAAGTTTAATTCTCACTAGTAAAATTAAATCATGTATAAATAAATAATTATGATAGTAAATAAAAATGAATTCAAATAAATTATCTAATCTAAAATGAAATGAAAATCTTTTTTTTTTTTATCGTAAATCATTAAATTTGCAGGAAATATATTTTATGTAAACCACATAACACTTATCTTTCAGTTGATTGAGTGGTCGCAAATAATTTAATGAGATATCTGCATGTGTATTTACCATAAACAGAGGAATAGAGGAAATTCGGATTAGATAAAAACGATCGTTTTTGGAAGTAAATAAGTCAGGTGGTACTGCAAAATTGATAAGATTTTGGAGATATGCGAAAAATAGGAGCATGCTGCCGAAAATTTTTCATTGCTTGAGAATTTAATAGCAAAAAATGAGTGAAAATACCGATATTGATTTTCATGTGTTACATTGGTAGTTTTAATTTTTACTAGCCCAAGGGGCTACCTCCGTGCAGGAAACTACTAGTCCGACCCCCAAAAATGGTAGCCCCGGGCGTCGGGCGATGCTAATTGCACACCCCTGGACAATTTTTAAAACGAGGCAATCTATTGTCAAATAAGTTGATGAAACAAGGATATCAATAGTCTCATTTAAAGTCAATATTTCACAAACTCTATTGTCGATTCAATGACCTTGTCAGGAAACCTATCATTAAGTCAAATTTTGACTGTCGTTTTTCATACAAATTGTTAGGCCATTTTTTCACACTGATTTCCGTTTGCCCGATCATGACAAGGAGCACATGTCGGGTGTTACCGGTGGATAGGGGGTGCTAACTCCTCCATGGCATCTGACCCCACCTCCGATGTTTTTAGAGGTCGATGTATGCTCTGCTCCCGATTTGTGTTGATTCAATGGATTTTACAGCTTGATTATACTGTTGGATATCTTCATATTTCATTTCATTAATACATATCCGGAGTATAGAATAGTAAGTTCCTGTGAATAATCTTTAGTTTTTTTTATCTTAGTGTTGTAATTTGAGGTCAAATTCAACACATAATTCAGTTACTCCCTCCCTCTTCAATTCTCGTCGATTTCCACATATATTTTTTATATTATTATTTGATTAAATGCAGATGACAGATGCTTTACAATAAACCTTCAGCATAAAAACCCTCTCTTGCAAACAAATAATTAATGTATAGTAAAACAAATTCCTTCGGCAAGTCTACCATAGTAGTAAATATTCTATCAGATGATGAATCTTTAAACATTCGTCCATGCATAGCAAATCGTCCCCCCCCCCTTCCACTTGGAATTTTCTCTATATACATGTATGATTAAAACCCCACAATTCATCAAAATGTAACATTTTCTATAGTTTAATTAAAAACGTTTAATGGGGCCATCTTTCAAAAATTGTCTGTTTGCCCCCTGTCGATGGCCCGACTTGAAACTTGTTTTTCGGAAATTATTTTTTCTATTCATTCCGAAATGTTCTCATCAAGTCAACAACTATAAAACTTCTATTAATACATGTATCTTCAGTTTTCAAAATATTTTGAAAATCCAGATTGATGTTGAAAAAAAAAATACCTACATACAAACCGACCCAATATTTTTATCAGGGCAAACAAACACATTTTTTAAAGCTGGGCCGACACTTTCCTTTTAAAAGAGTAGTAAATGTTGAAAACGCCCTTTCATTAAATTCCAAACCGATCAGGTTCAGCGGAAGGTTTAAAGCAAAACAAATACTTTATAGTTTATAGTGTATCTTCCTCCATGGGGGGACGATTTACTATATAGTAAATCGTCCGGGATTCCCGGAGGGTTTGCTATACATAGTAAATCGTCCGGGGGATTGGGAAAGGTTTACGACGGTATTAACTAAACGCTCAGTATTACCTGTGTAATTAGCTTAATGTTTTAGTGTATTAAAAGCGATTTATAAGATAAACTAAGGACGAGTCAAATGTCTCCATATTTCAGTGTTCAAGTGAACATTCTTCAAGCCCGATCTTAATCACGGATCCAAAAATCTGAAAGCCCATTAACAATTAAAGTGTATTATACGTACCTTATTGCTTCCAGACCACCAGCCATATGATGGTTGCGATTGGAAAAGCTTTGTTATTACATTACACGTAAATAGTTGTCTTTTGGTGTGTACTCAATATTTTCTTTAAAATGTGTTTCACTTATTAATATTCAATATTCTTCGCACAATATATCACAATGTTACACAAAACAAAAACTTCAATTTATTGATAGCTGCAGTTCTTAAATTTTTTTTCTTTGTTAATACTAAGCTGGAAATGGAATATCTTCTATTCTACTTCTCATCAAAAGCTAAATGAAATGATTTTTCATATACCTTTTTTTTGGTAAAATGAATTTGAATTTCATGTGGAGCTGATAGTCAAAGCAAGCAAGACTAATTTAAAAAAAACAAAAAAAAAATATTATTTTCGTGGTAATACGTAGTTTTTAAGATATCTTTATTATGATATCTTTTTTATAACGGGCGCGTCGTGATTAGAAGAGAGCAGTATTGAATGGATGATTAACTGCCAGTTAAGTACATTTAATCAGTAAAATGGGTGTCTTTATCGTTTTAAAATATATCTTATCAAACTTGATAGTCAAAATATATCTAATCTAAAGTCGATGTTGTAAAAACGACATAGAACATCCATTTTTTCCAGAAAACTTGTGATTTGAAGTCCGAATATTCTGAGTGTACAATCATTTGTCTGATAAACGTATGTAATACCCTTTCTCAAGATATACTTTACATAAATCACTTTTTACGAATTTATATGTAGAATGTTTACTTACGGGGTAAGTATAGGGAGTTATAACAAGATGTTAAGTAAACACTGGCATAAAAATAATTGCGTTGCCTCTTATGTTCCATCATAGTTTATTAATTTCTAAGATAATTTAATTAATTTCGATTAAAGGTATGTAGAATGACATATTTTGAGGCAATTATTTGAATGAAATATTTTTTATCAATCAAAAAAGTTACTTATTTTAACTTTACGATATAAGAATGCAAGAATTTATTTTTCTCTCGAAATCACATTGACTGGTTTAATTTATTAATCCACGTTTGATTAATAAAATTTGATCACGTACTTGTTAAACAAAAGTAGTCCTTTGACGTGTCATAAAGATTATTCAACTCAGAAAATCAGATAATTTGATTTAATATAAATTCCCTTACCTTTTGCAAGCTAATACCGATTCCTGACACTAGATTAACAAATCTCTGTGTAACTATTGAATTTTCCCTCCTTTGCTGTCACTGATATCAAAAAGAACCTGCCAATACACAAGCAGACTGCCATTTTATATATTGCAGCATCTCTCTATTGATTGCTGATAGGCGTCTAAGGATCGGTAAGAGAGAAAGACGGTAATATTTCTGGGAGCATGGCTAGCAGCTTTGGCTGGTTGCTGTAGACAACCATACCTATCATGCAGGTACTCTTATGGAAAAAAAAGAGAGGTTTAAGCTTAAACAAGAATATCATTTACATTTACGATTGAATTTTTTGCAAAATAATAAGACTTGCTTGTTAGACTGAAATTTGTTATATCTACATTTATATAATATATCATATTACCAGTTAATTTTCATTCTGACTTTTTGAATATATCTGAAATTTTTGGCAAAGTATGTTGAAAAATATTTGTAAAATTTGGTCCAAAATATTTGAAACCTACATTCCTAGCATATAATAATGTGAAAATTTATGTGAATATAAATATTTAGGGCCAACTTTCCAACATTTTGAATAAAATCAATCACTCTGTAGATTTTGAGAAATTTTCTTCTTAATACCCTTCCACTACAAGAAACAATCCCTCATAAAATAAATCTTATTTCTAGTCAATTTTTGTGCGCTTTTTTAATTGAATGTTGTACAATTTGCATTGTTAAATTCAAATATGTAAAGAAAATTAATTTGCAATTGAATATTTTTATATTAAAGGATCTGAACAAACTTTTCCCAAAAGCTGAGGAGTGACATACTTAAAGGACAGAATAAGAGGATGGAAGACCTCACATGGTTGTGATCTTGACCCTTTTACCTCAGTATAAAGAGGGATGGTGTTTTGGTTAAAGACAATATTAAATTAAATCTGGAAACCATTTCATACCATACTGTGGAATCGATCTTTTTTCTTAGGGGACCAGTGTTCGTTGATTTCATGGATCGCCCTTTGCACACGAATTAACATCCCCACAAACAATTATTTTGTCAACATATTTATGGACTTTTCTGAATATACGAGTTACCCACGAATTAACGTCCCCACGAATCAATAAAATTTTGCTTGCCCACGAACACTGACCCTCACGAATTAAAATGATTTCACAGTATGAACTATGCCGTTGACATTTCACCTTTTTGGCTTCAAAATCAATAGAGATCTTTCTTTAGTACATCTTAATTTCATTGCAAAAACTCATATAATAATAAATATATCATCTGAAAACCATATTATATAACACTAATATATGAATTTATGTCGTTGGCCTTTGACATTTTGACCTCAAAATCAATAGAGGTCATTTTAAGTCATAAGATATCAAATTTCATTGCAAAAGCTTTGAGAGAAAGCTGGTGACAAAAAGAATTCAAATTTCGATGAAACAAATAAAGAATTCCATTATTAGACTACTATAGAACATTTTAAGGAACACACATTGAAATGATATGTTTAAGAGGCAATTATATTGAAATTGACTCAATTAACTTTGGAACGTTTCATGTCCAATCACATATGTTGATTTTGATTTAAATCTCTGTTTCTATTATGTAAATTCCTGGTAATTTATATGCTGGAAATAGCCTATCTTCTAATCATAGAGACCACAGATGTTAATACTGAATACTGGTTTCTGGGATTTGGGGGGAAAAGATAAAATATAAATGAAATTGAAACGCATCAAAATGTTTATACTATACTGTTTTAAGAAATTGTTGATACTATGAAGAAGTTAAAGGTATAAGTGCCAGAAATGTTTACAGTAAGTCTGGATTCAATCATCATGCGCTGTTGTCTAGAAAGAAAAACGACCGTATATCTGTCAAGAACACATAGTACGAAACTAGAACCAGAAAACCACTGCTGTCTGTCGTAGCATGACTTCCTCATATTTTATCAAGCCATGTTGTATATTTTTTGGTGGCTGGAAGGTTTCTCTCTGTTGCTAAGGTTACAATAACTGTGTTCTATTTTTGATTGAAAAAACGTCAAAAACAAAAGTTTTCTGTTTGACCATCGTCCTTAAGTAATATCAATGGATGCTATCATTGTTTTCTTGCCCTCATTAATTCAATTGTTATACCTTGCACCGTTATCGAGGACTATTTTTAGAATAGATACATCCTTTTTATACATGCATCATCTCTTGTAATAAGAATCATAGGGTTAAACCTTACTCTCTTCAATGAATATCCCTTTTTACACGTAGGGGTTGATACAACGAAGTCCTTAATGTGAGAAAGTATGACCCCCCACCCCACCCCAAACAAATTTGACATGAGTTATATTTCTCTTACTTAGCGATAATATTAATTATTGACAGAGTGGGATCACTTAGTATTTTAGACGCTTCTTTCTTTGATTAAATTAACATTTGTACAATATGTTATCGTTGCTGTTTATCAACCGAAGTACTCAAAAGTACAGAGAGCCGGGCTCATTTACAGAGAAGTAAACAAGTCCGTTTTACATGAAACATACACTGTAATAACAGATGAATATCAACAAGACACTGGAAGAATATGCAACACAAAAATATATTTACGGCATATAGTATAAATAAAAAATGTTTGAAAAAATTAAATAAAATGCAGTTTGAATTTAACAGCGTAAACAATTTATCACATGTATCGTTTCTGGGGTCTAATATCACTTACAGAAGTAAATAAACATTGATGCAGCAAGGTCAAACGTTTATACACAGACGGGTCCTCAGCAGGTAGTTTTGCATAAAGGTGTGCATCGGGTCACGTGCTCCCCCGCATTAGTGTTAGCCTGGTAACACAACATTTATTTATAGAATGTGACGCTGACAGAGACTTGAAGAAAACCTTTTGCATTTTTTAAAGAAATAATTTATTGAAGATGAGGGGAGAAAGTATATAACCTTTTTTTTGGTTTAGAGAATTTCTTAGTTAACTTAAAATTTATTTAATTACGTGTTGGTGGTTGAGCATACTTACTCGTATTTAATTTGGCGGTGAGGAAGCAGCATTTCCGGTTGAACACCGTAACATAAGCCGGCTATTGCTCTACGAGCAATGAGCCCGGCTAAAACATCTACAAATATATAAACTGAAACTTTGAATTCACATGCAATATACGATATTTAAATGAATGTGTAAATTAATAAAATTAAAGATTTTTTTCTATTTAAAAAAAAAGTATCACATTGTAAAAAAAAAAAAAAAATGGAGATACATACAGAAAAATAAAGAAATATGAGACAAAAGATATAGATTTTTCAAAGCTTATACTTCAACAAATGTACTTTTATAAACACAGCAATAAAAGATTCCCTACATAAACAAGTAAAATGTATCAACAACTTCCTTTGTAGCAGGTTTCTTCTTTTAATATTTCCAGGCATACGTCCCAATGATTGAAAGAAATAACATTCAGGAATGTTTTCTATAAACATCCGTATCCCCTAAATACACACATTGTCAGACACCTAATAAAAGATCACCTCGGAGTCTTGGTGTATTAAGAGTATATGCACTTGCTGATCTGTAATAGTGGCTTGTCCCACAAATTTAAAAATGCATTTACTAGTAATTAATTAAGATAAAGCGAGTTCAAGGAGAATAAAGAAATAGGCTGGCTGATTCCAAAGTCGTGTTCTTGGGTACAACTGCATAAGTACATAAAGATAACGTTAATTAATGATCAATGCCTTCATCGTAAATTCATAATCACTAATTTCTTTTTTTTATTGAAAGCCAAAGACACCGTACGTTTATAAATTACGTCTTATAACTGAAATGCAAATGAGCAATTTATTGCCGCTCACATTTTCAGCATATCATAGCTCTCATCGATATATACAACAACAAATGTGAGTTGCAGCTGGACATTTTGCCGAAGACTAATCAATTTGTCGATAATTTAATTTACAGGAACGCGTCAAATGAAACAGATATTTGACACAATTTTGATAAAACATTAATAATTAAGATTATGCCCAATCGAATGGTATTTTTTAAAGTCCGTTTTCAAAGCAAGAACCAAGATTGCTCCATTAACTTGATAAAGTGGAAACATCCCATCGTAAGCTTAAAATGTCAAACCGTCTATTTGCATATTACAATCAATGAAATCTCACAGGAGTTTATTAAATTCAATTCGGGTATAAAGGGTTATAAATTCCATGTCAATAATACGCTAGATGCAAAAAGATATTAGACATCATGCAAAATTTCTTTTTTTTTTCTCACCGGAATGCCATATAAGCTATGTCCTAATTACCTTCATGTACATGCTAATGTTCAAAGCAAGATAAGATTGTACAGGCGCGGATCCAAGTTTACCACTGGGGAAGGATCGATCGAATTACATCATTAACCAATGTTTTGCTCTAATTTTTAAAGGAAGAGGCACTATAAACGAAACTCTAGAATACATGTTTTTTTCACAAAACTCTTAATTAGCAAAAAATATTAACTAATAAAATCAAAGCTGCTCCTTGTTATAATTTAGTGTATATAGTTGAAACGCCTATTTATTTATATATCAAATTTTCATCAATTTTATCGAAAATGTTGTTGAGATATTCTTCTAAGAATCAATTTTCACTCTCCAGACGAACATAGTCTGTTTCAGGGCAATGAATTGAACATTTACATGTACGTACTGTTTTATCTTTTCTATTACAATTGTTCAGAATTTTTGGATTTATTATAGCGAGCGGTGCAACTCACAGTTCGAGCTCTTACGACAACGCCTGGGCGATGAGAAAATTAGGACTTTGCATTTCGATCCAAACGATTTTTTTCCGCAGTAACCTCTGGACCCACAATCCTTTGCGAATTGCATCTCGCCGTTCTCTCGGTAACAACAAAAGTTCAAAAAATAAATAAATAAACTCACCATAATATAAAGGATATTGCAGGTAAATTGAAGATTGAAAACGTCCTTTATTAATATAACCACCGTTAGCAATGTTCAGGCTTCGGTTTGGTAATGCAACTTACACATATTACATAGGACTTCATGTGACGTCAGAGTCTAGACGTTGCCAAGTGCGGTTTGAGGAGACGGATCTAAATAAAAACTGAATAGTAGGTATCTGCGCTCGCCCAAACGGTCGCACCGTCAACATTCTTCTTTTTAATCAGCCACGTGACAGGAAATGACATAAGTTTTCAGGAAC